GGGGTCAGGGTGGGGTAGGAAGAGAGGAGGATCCCCAATTCTGGAGTCCTCCTGGAAGGGCTGGGAGAGAGCGGAAAATCCAGACCTGGGATGTCCCCAGAGGGACTGGGAGGGGCGATGGAGAAGTGGACCCCCGGTTTTGGGTTGTCTCCAGTGGGGTGTCTTGTGGTGGGTGTTGCTGGGAGCAGGCAGGAGGGCAGCAGGGTTGGGACGGCCACACTTGGAGCTGCTGCTCCAGGGAATGCAGGCTCCAGCGTGGGGGTTTGGCAGGCTTGGGGCATTTCCTGGAGCAGGGGGTGCTGGGAGCAGGTTTCCCGGATTGAGGGACACACTCCAGAAGCTCATCGGAGCCCAGAGCCCGTGGCCAGAGGTCTCTGGCCCTGATGCCCTGCTGGATGCCCCGCAGATGGCTTCGACAGCACGAGTGCGTGGAGAAGCTCAACATGCACGCCATCCTGAGCGCTTCCAGCGGCCAGGAGCAGCTCCTCACTGAGCTGCTGGTCACCTACGCCAAGGTGAGCCTCCTGGGGTGCGGTGCTGATCCCTGTGCCAGGCCCTCAGCCTTGAGACAGGGTTGTCTTGTGGACAGGGTGCAAATCTGGAATAAAACGGTGAAGAATCTGCGGTGTCTCTGGCAAAGACATTTGACTGGTGGTTTGCCAGTGTTGCTTTTTGAAAAATTAAAGGTCAAGCTATGGGGTTTTTGCTTGCTGGTCTCTGGTTCCTCTTTGGAGCTTCTTTTTGGTTTCTTGTGCGTCAGCCCCTCTGCTTGCGGATCTCTGCCATACAACCAAGGTGTCCCAGCCCCAGGATGCGTCAGGTTGCGCTGTGTGGTGCCCTGGACCTACCCAGCTCGGTGTCATCTTCCCCTTTGCAGCCCCAGGAGCTCCCTCTGCCCTCTCTGTTGGGGAAATGTGGTTGATTTCTGAGCTGGGTGCATACAGACTGTGCCCCAAGGCTGCCCTCCTCCTTGAGGTGACTCTGAAGTCTGTGCAGCTGAGCATTAGCAATAAACTGGTCCCATTACAGCACTGGTCTGAACGGCTTCCCTCCCCGGTCCCTTCCCTGTCTAGATTCCTGTTCTCATTGGGGAGCTGATCTCTGTGGAGATCTGGAAGCACAAGATCTTTCCTGTGCTGTGCCGGCTGGAGGACTTCAAGCCGAGAAGCACCTTCCCCATCTACGTGGTGGTGAGTACAGGGGGCAGTGGGAACCAGCCTGGCAATTGGGAGGGCACCACTGCGCTAGGAAACAAATCTCACCCCGCAGACCTCAGAGCTGGGGTTTTACATCTTGCCACGCTGCCAAGCTGCGGCGGACAGAGTGACGCAGTGGGAATCACCTGGCTTCCCAAAGCCGTGAGCCACAAGCCCTTGTCCTTGGCCGCAGGAGGGACAGGGACCTGCTCCCAGGGGAGCTCGGCTGTGTGGAGGGCTGTGCCCCTGCCTAATCCTGCACAGGGGCTTGCCGGAGCTGCTGGATGCAGGAAAAGCCACTCCTGGAGGTGGCTGTGCTCCTGGTTTGTAAGTGCAAATACCCCTGGGGTATTTGCCCGCCTCTGAGCATTGTTTGGCACCTCGAACCAGAAAGCTCTCCAAGGTTACGTGCTTCTGGGTTATGAAAAATGCAGCTTCTTACCGAGCTTCTGGGCGCAGCCATCCCTTGGGCCATTCTTGGCAAGGGTGCACTCTTGGGAACTTGGCTTCCCTGCAAAGGGAGGCAGCCTTTGACCTAAGGGAAATTTGCCCAAGGCTGGGAAGTTTTAGCCCATTTTTGGTCCAGAGTAACTCCTCGCTGGGGCAAGGCGGTGTCTTCCCAGGGCAGCTGTTTGTCTGCAGCAGTGTCCCATCTGGGACAGCAGCTCCGTGCCAGGGGCTGCAGCTTGCCCAAGGGCTACGGCTGTACTGTCACTGTAGGGCAGAGGCAGAGCCCTGAAGAGCCCTGCCTGCTGGGAAGTGTGGTTCTAGTGTCCTAGGCATGTTAGCATAAATATTAATATGAACTGTATGGAGTTGTTTTAAAGATGACGTCACTTGTCTTTGGCTCCTGGACTTGTGTTTGGCCCCAACTACATAAGCAGTTTTTTAGGAGAACCCTTTTCCCGGTCCCATTGCTTGTGTTCTCCACGCCGGTGACCGCTCTGCTGTTACCTCACGCCTGACGTTTTCCTCCCGCAGCTGCATCATGAAGCCTCCATCATTAACCTCTTGGAGACGGTGTTTTTTCACAAGGTAAGAGGCAGGTTCAGCGTTTTTCAGTGTAAAGCCCCAGTTTGGGGGAGTGAAAAACCATGGCTGGGGGGGCTGGCTCTCTGTGAAACTCTTGTCGTTGTGAAGGAGATTTGCGAGTCAGCAGAGGACAGCATTCTGGATTTAATTGATTATTGCCACCGAAAACTGACCCTGCTCGCAGCTCGGAGCTCCAGTGGACAGACAGTGCCCCCGGCAGAGCTTCGTCCCGAGGATCTGGCCAGCCTCTCATCCATGCAGGTGAGGAGGAAGTCCTGCATCTCCCTGCGGACGCGTGTGGTGGAGGATGTGGGCAGCCTCAAGAGGCACAGGGGAGCCTTCCCGTGGAGACCCCCCTGGCTGCAGCCCCAGCACCTCCCACCCATCTCGGAGGACATCTGGTGCCGGTGCTTGTCCGCACCAGCAGCTCGGCTGGGCCAGCAGCTGCACCCTCTTCCCTCCACCCCATAGCCACGCTGCTTCCCTCTTGTGCCAGCACCAGCCTGAGGCTTCCTGCGGGACGTGGTCTGAGCTGGCGCTGAGTGGGGGATGCTGGGTAGTTGACAATTACACGAGATATTCAGTGCAGGGGTTTGGCAATTTGCTGTTGCTCTTAAGCTGTGGGGGTATGTCTCCTGGGAGGTCGTGAAACCACCCGAGCTCAGGCTGCAGCTGGATCCAGCCGAGGTTAACCATGAGAGGGATCCTCCCTAAACCCACGTATGATACACCTAGGAATTGCCCTAATGAGTTTCTCCACAACTTCCTCTGAGAAACGCCTCCTCTCTGTGCTGATTGGGACCAGTGGTGAGCCCAGAGCTGTTCTCGGTCGGGTGTTTGAGGGCTGGTGCACAGCCCTTCCCGGTGAGCCCTTCCTACAACCCTTCTCTTGCTCTGGGTCTTGGCTGCTCAGCACCTCGAGTTGTCCCGTAAACTGCACACATCACACGGAGTGTCTGGAACAGAGGGGTTAAAGCGATAGCCTGCAAGCTTGGCCATACCTCCCCGCATCGCCTCCGTCCTTTGGCTTGTTGCCCGAGCACGTGCTCCTCTTCCAGAAAAGGGAAGGAAGTGGAGGGCTCCGGAGCACAATAGGGATGTTTTCCAGGAAATGTTTTCCCAGCTGGGAGGGGAAAAGGTTCTCTCTGTTCAAGCTTCGACATGGCTCAAAGAAAAAAAAAAAAAAAAAAAAAAAAAAAAAAAAAGACCTCTTCTAGGCAATAGGATTCAAAAAAGTGCTGGTCTCCCAAGGAGCCTGGTTTCCTCCGATTCATTCCAGCCCCTCCTGGCTCTACATACAATAAGCCCCTACTAAAAAAATGTTCCTGCCCTCTCCTGTCTTGTGGGGCCAGCTGTCCTTTGTGACTGCACTGTGGTAACCCCTGGAGCAGGACGTGTTCTGCTCTCCCCCAGAAGCACAGGAAAAGATAGTCCCTGCCTGAAGATAGCGGAGATGAGCGGTGGATATGACAGGAGCTGTAGGAAACAGCCTCGCTGTTTCGGGCGGGAGGGCTGGGAAAGAGCTCAAAAAGCTTTCTTGGTCGCATGTGGGGCACCAGCACGGGGAGCGCAGGGCTTCTCACCACAGGAACTTGGAAGGGAACTAGAGGAATAGGAGCTGCTGAGGTCAGTGCTCTGCACACAGAGATGTGAGCTGTTGAGCATCTGGGAGTGGAGAGGAAAAGCCCTGCCTCGGCCAGAGAGAAGGACGTGGCACCGCTCAGCCTGGCCATCCCACAGACCCGAAATAGGCTGAGCCAGCGGGTGGTCAGGCTGTTGTCCTCGGTGCGTGGGCACGGCCGGGGTGTCCACGCTGCCCCGGGGGTAGCTGGAGAGTGTGACGTAGCTGCGGGCTGGGGTAACCACAGGCAGATAGTCTAGCTGGCTGTATGCAGGCTGGACAGAAGCAGATCCAGGAGGGGTGAATGTAGGACTGCAGCTCTGCCAGGGTCAAGTTTCTCCCTCCTCCTCCTCCAGTTCCTCTTCTGATGATGCAGCTCCCCTCTCCCTCAGTCTCACATGTCTCATGGGCCACAAGATGATCCTGTAAGGAGAGAGAGGAGCAGTCTGGGACTGGGCTCTTTCAGGGGGTGTCACCCGCGATCTGTTAGGGGTAGGGAGATGAGGGATGAGCAACAGTGAGCTGCAAGCATTTCTGTGGCTGCCCTGGCAGACAGGCAACGCTGGCACAGTCACGATGAGCAGCAGAGTTTGTTTTGCAGTGCTCTGATTTCCTCCCCAGCCTGTGGTTACCGATGTGCAGCCAACAGGCTGCCTCCCTGGAGCTCCTGGGAAATGGGAGCTGTGCTTGTCTCTCCCCAGGAGCTGCAGAAGCAGGCGGAGACAATGGAGTTTGAGATTTCCCTGAAAGCCCTGTCTGTGCTGCGGTTCATCACGGATCAGGTGGAGAGGTAGGTGCCCAGGAGCGGCACAGGACGTGTGCTGAGCTCTCTGGTTAAGATTCCAGTGGGGTCGCAGCAGGCGCCTGGACCCCTTTCAGCAGCTGGCTGTGCCTGTGGCACTGTGCCTCGGGAGGCGAATGCAGCTGCGCTCCACCCCGTTCCGTGGTACTTGCGGGAACCCAGATCATTGGGTTTTTCCTGCCTCTCCCAAGTTGCCTCAGGCAGCGTTTGTGTCTGTTTTGGCATTTGTCTGAAGCGCCGTTTCACCCTTCCTGTCCTATCTCCAGTCTGCCCCTGAGCGCACTGACACGGATGCTGAACACCCACAACCTGCCCTGCCTCCTTGTCCAGCTGGTGGAGCATTGCCCCTGGAGCTGCCGGGAAGCAGGTACGGATCATGCCCCTGCTCAAAAGCAGCTGGGCACCCGGTGCTCCCAAGCACTCCCAGCAGCGCTCCCAAGAGCCGATCCTCGCACAGGGCTGCGTCTCTCCTAAGCTGATCACGGCCAGGACAGGATCAGGAGCGTAGCACATCTGCCAGCCCTACTTGCTCCTCCAAGGGGTCTTGTCCTGGATGCAGGAAGACCGGAGTGGGGTGGCACTAGGAGCTGGGGCCAGACACGGGCTCTCCCAGACAGCAAAACGATTGCCCTGGAGCTGCTGGTTGTTGAGCTCCTGCCAAATACCTCTCTCTGATCAGGTTGCACCCATCGGCCCTCACCTGTGCCATCAGCCCTGCCCCCTGCACCTCTGCAGCCAGGCGTGCCCCCCCCAGCTGCCCCACTGCCTGCCTCTGAGCAGTGGTGGGGCACAGCCTGGAGCGTGGGAACCCGCGCTCCCCTCCCCAGCCCCGCACCGGGGGGGTCACAGCACCGGCCGGGCAGGAAGAGATGCTGGGAAGCACGTGGCTCTGTGCCTGCCGAGAGACGCCCAGCTGGATGTGGGAGCTTTCCTCCTTCCTCCAGCCAGGAAACGCATCCCTTCTGTCCGCCTGTGCTCTCCGGGTGTCAGAGCTTTGATCCAGGGCCCTGGGGGAGGGACTGGAAAGAAGCAAGAGTGCAAAGGCATTTCCAGGCAGTGCAGACACAGGGTTACATCCTCCTCCGTCCCGCAGAGCAGCACAGTAGCTCCTGGAGCTTTGTCACTTCTGTTACATTCGTGCTGCTCCTGGCTTTCGCTGGCAGAAAAACATCCAGAAGATACCCCAAAACGTGCCTCTCCAGCCACTGTGTTGCTGCAGCATGAGCTCCCCCACCATCTCCCAGTGCTCTCTGCTCCTGGCCAAGTACAGAGGGAGATAGCTCAGGGATCTTTCAGTTCCTGCCACAGCCCTGTTGTTTTAATACAGACTGGTTTTGCTTTCTGTGCTCTCTGATGTGTTGTCCCAGTACCAAGTAGGCCCCTAACGCTGAGCAAAGGGGTGGGGAAACTGAGGCAGGCAGAGGCTTGCCTGCGGCAGAGTGAGGAAGTGAGCGTAGGCCAGCACCCCCACCTCTGAGCCGTCCTCCTTCAGGCTGTCTCTCCCCCGAGCCATGTGTTCTGCTGTCCCTCAGGCAAGCTGAGGAAGTTTGAGAACGGTATGTGGCATGCGGTGCCCCCCGAGGACCAGGTGAAGATGACCAAACTGGATGGGCAGGTGTGGCTTGCCCTCCTCAACCTCCTGCTCAGCCCCCAGTGCCAGCGCAAATACCACTTTGATGGCTTCAACAAGAGCCAGCTCCTCAAGGTAGGACCCCACACCACAATGTCCCACAGCACGGAGGGGGACCTTGCCAGCCCTGGACACCTCCGGGCTTCTCTCCCCATCCTTGCTGTGGGCTCCTAGCAGGGAGCAGTGGGATTGGACACCATGCCAGCAAAGCTTGTGTTTGCAAGTGCATCCCGTGGGTCGTGCCAGTGCCCCACAGATCCCTGCTCTTGCCATCCTGCTTTCCATTCACCCTTCTCTTCCCCTCTGTGGCTGCAGGGCTCGCCGCATTCCGGACGGACGTCCTCATTGACCAGCTGCCCAACCTGGTGGAGATGCAGAGATTTCTGAGCCACCTCGCGGTGACAGAGCCGGCTCCCCCCAAAAAGGATCTCGTCCTGGAGCAGGTATCCTGTGGCTTTTCTTCCACCTCTCCAGCTGTTCTGCTTTGAGCCTGGTAGCTCCCTACCCCCCTTCCCTCCCACCAAGCTCAGCTCTGGGGAGGAGGTGCCCTGGTAGAGCAGCCAAGCACCTGTTTCACAGTTCCACCCCTACTGCCAGCCACGTTGCCCGTGGGTGACGCGAGCGCCTTGTCCTGCTACAGCAGCGCCCAAGGAGTCACGTCTGAAG